TCTACTGCTGTACTTGGAGGATCCCGCCAGTTTGCAAGCACGGTGCTTCCTGCACCAGTTCTGGATGGAATGACGGATGTTTCTTTGCGCAGAGAGCCACGTGTTTTGGTTCCGTCGGCTAGCAGTACCATTACTGCAGTCTCTGTTCAGCATATGGCAGGCGGGGCAGATACAGTCCAGTTGCAGAGTTGGAATGAAACTTTGCGCTATCCCCAGGTTCCTGAAGAAGCAGTACGGCTCAATATGCAGCAACTCACTTTTCTTTGTCAGGATTCTGGTGTGCCCGTCCTACCAGATTTTGAGCTTCGGTATTTTGCGTCCATGATTTGCCGCACAGGCGCTACAGCCTTAGAGGTCTTTCAGCGAGTAGGTATTCTTGAGTCTGCTTTGACAGTACATTGGGTATTTCACTTGAGACAGCTCTGGACTCGGATGGACCCTCGTGTTTCGGATGCTCAGAAAATCCTGATTCAGTTTGGGCACGGGACTGATACTGGAGGTCTGGATGGCATTCTTCGACTGAAGTATTTAGCTCCTGCTGTGTACGCCGACGGGGATGATGCAGTAGGCCACTATAGCCAGGCCAGTTTGTGGTCCGATGTTCATTCTTTGACAGAGATGTATGATCGTGTCGTTTCCAGTGGCAAGTGGGCACAACCTGTGATCGTGGGTGGTGAAGTTGTGTGTGGTGACATCCATCACACTATGAAATCAGGTTCGGGCGTGGAAGCTCAGAGGGCTTGTGTTATCAGCGGCGCAGTCCACATGAAGAAGGACAAGAAGTGGGTTCTGCATTCCAATTTGACACGTATCACTAATTTCACGGTGAGTGTTCGCAAGTCTTTTCAGACCCGCCGGGATGCTGGAGGATTGCCCATGTTTACCTTGCCTCCTAGCCGATTTGAGCGCCTGTCCACATCTATGCGGTCAGGTGCCATACCTTTGCCTCGCATGGCATGAGGCCGTACAGTAATTCCTTAGACTGGGTAGCCATTTTTTCAGATGCTACAACGATACCTCATGAATGGTGAGGTCGCGCAACATGAAGTGGCACT